AAATTCTGAACTTTGACTGAAAATCGGGCCTACGCCACACTTTTATAAGCGGTTTCTTCTCTATTCGAGCAAACAATTTAAAGAAATCATTTGGAGCCTTTGAGAACATGCCCAAGCTTAATGTGTAGTACCTCCAAAATTTAAAAAGATTCATTGTAAATCCTCAGGGACTCGTGCACAGCCAGATCGATCCGGAAACACTGTTCTGAAGAACATTGTGTTTACTATTTATGCACTAGTGTTGTTCACAGAGAGCGGGAGGGATTTTTAAAAACATTTTCGGTATTAAGGCCTCACAAAACGCAGGTTCTACCTACACTGTGTATTCGAGAAATCGATTTACTTATATAGTAGCAATAAAAATCCACTGTTCTCTATCAGCGTACCACATAACTTTTTCTGTCGAAATATCGGGCCATTTCCCTTCAGGATTGCATAACTTTCTATAAATTCCTTATGAGAAAAGGTAAAAAAACAATTATTTATAATCTGTGTAATTCGTGCGTTCACTCCCTCTGATAGTGGAAGACGACAGTAGAACAGTAGTGGAAAATAATAGTACGACAACAGTACAAAATGCTCCCCATCTTTACAACTCCTCCGTACAAACTCTACAAACGTTCATCACCAATCCTCAGTTTAGAAACCTTCTACTACCCCATACACCATATCCTGAGAACCCCCCCCCCCGCACACTCGTAAAAAATACCCCCTGGACATCATGCAAATCCGTCCTATCATAACCTAGGCCAGAGGGAGAAAAACAAGACCAAACTACCAAGACGTATAAACGACTGACTCGCTACTGACCCACTATGAACCCACGACAAACGCGATAAAAATATTCCTTCCCCTCCTATATCCCATTCCATTCCCCACCCACATCCTTTCCCCCATCCTCAAGCCCCCTAACAAAACAACCCGTCACTTCACCACCCAGACTCCCGATTCCAGTCCCTGTACGGGGAAGAGGGGTCGCAACACATCAAAAGACGACTGGAACAAATAAATATGGACGAAGAGTCGTTTAAGCGACAGGCAGACCATTCAAGCACATCCTGGTTTCTATTCTGTTCCTGTACTATTGGGCAAAATGTCCTGCAAGTGCAGGAGGGTAATAAACACTTCTTAGCATACCGAATAGAAAACATTCAATTCCCCCCTACTGAATCCAGAGCTGTTGAGCCTGGAACAGCGATTCCTACGTACTGAGTCCATTGCGAGGCGCCTACCCGGGACCAAAGTGAGATCTCATGCTGAGGAACAGCGACCGTCACCGCTGCTGCTGCTGCTGCATTTCCGTGGCTGCCGGCCCACATCACGCCGCCGATAACAATGAAGTACTGCTACGCGAGGGAAGGCGAGGTGAGGAGAGGCGCGGAGAGGCGCGGAGAGGCGAGGAGAGGCACGCTGCAACTACTTAGCGTGATTTAGCAAGTGGAGAATGACGCGCTGTTGATGGAGTCGTGCCGCTCGCCGCCTGGTCAGCTGACCAGGGATGGAGGACTGGGCCGCGCTGCACCGGTGCGGCTCACGTGCGTGTCACATGGCACAGCTTTATTTTTATTTATAATTTATATCTTCATTTACATGATTTATGCATTCAAGTTTTTTTTTTTACAAAGATGTATTCAATTACGAGGAAAATAACTAGCGTTGCTACGTCGTAAATGTATATCAAAAATGAAACGTTGTTACAGATCTCTGTGGAGAATACAAGTTGAATTTATTGTTAGGAAGGAAAAAATACCTATCACCATTTTCTTTCTTAATAAGCGGATACTTGGCAAAGGGTAAGCGAACTGGTGAGGGTTTTTTTTAAAGAAGTTAAATGTAAATTCAATTTGTATTTTGATTTAATTAAAATAAACCAATATTCGTTTCAAGTTTTTTGTACGATTTACACACCCATTTTAAACATTTTTAATGTCAAACACCAAAACTAACGTGGTGTATAGGGTGAAGTCTATAGTTGAATTTCCTGTACGCATGCTAAGCGAGGAACATATACGAACGCAAATATACTACCACCACCATGCGAACATACACAGAATAAAGTAGTACAAGACAAACAAGATAAATGATAGAACGTGATAGACGTGACGGAATCAACGTTTGGGGCACTTCAATTTTAAAAACTAAGACCGACAAATTTCGGTTCAATTCGATAGCCTTCTCAATCCTCGTTTGGATACAGACCCTTGTAGAATTACAAAAACATTTATTCATCTCCATTGTCGACCGCATTGCCACGTCCCTAGGTCGGCGCAAGAAGAGTCTCTTCGTAAGCTGAACTCTTCGTTGCCTTTGAAGGTCGCCGTCGCGGTCTTAGCACCGGCGTCTGCCGGGCGTCGCCGAGCTCCGGTTAGCACGAGGAAGCACATCACTCTGTTTTTACGGCACCTTCTTCCCCGACCACAGCCTCCTTGAATTCCTCGATGCGGTGGCCGCACATCTGACCCTTGTGTGCATCTACCGAATAAGTGTGCGGTATCTAAATGTCGATACTTTCGATATTGACATTGTCAAGGAGTTCGAAAGTGGTATATCGACTTGGAAAGGCAGAGGGAAGGAATGGATGAAAAAACCCGCAACAGTGAAGAATTTCTAGTTTGTCCTGGAAAGAGGATTCTATTTCAACTACTCCCTGAACATCGCAAGAACTTATCGAATCAGTTCACTGCTTAATAGAATTAATTTATACAATTATTAATATGCAAAGAGTCGATAAATTCAGCGGCCGATCCAGAGGAGCAAAAGATCTGAGATGGCACCCCCGTATTATTTTTATAGAGACATAATGTAAGGTCATTGTCATTTGCCATCCGTCTTCAACTTTAACACAATAAATAAAAAATTAAGTAAAACTATAACATGCCGTATAATAATTATGATTGCCATGGTGATGGATGTGTTAATTTGCATTTTATACATATAAAATAATATAAGTAGTGCATAGTATTACCATAAAAATTGATACATAGAGCACACCCCTTCCAACATCTTGGTTTTAATCAATCTCGATAGCGTGTGCAGAATCGAACAGCCTCCGGCCCGAGGAACTCCGAGAGCCTCTGCGGGCGCTGTTCGTCTTGCGCCGATCGGCCACCTGCGCGCAATCCAGGCGCCCCAGCCACCTGGGCGCGCGACGCCGCGTCCCGGCTGCGTCCGGCCCCGTTCGCGGCGGGTAACACCGTTCGGGACGATCATGCGGAGCCCCGCGCCCCGCGCCGTGCCCGAACAACGTTGGGAGGCATGCAGACAACTGCGCGGATAGTAATCCGCCTTCCCCTTCCGTCCTTTCACGTGCGGAGAAACAATGCAAATCTGGAGAATATAATTAGAGGAGGCAAGTGCTTCACCCGACTTGTTATTCTGTTACCACTCACCAATAAAATAAACACTAATAAAAATTATTATTATTACTATTATATTATTATTATTATTATTATTATTATTATTATTAATATTGGCCTCCAGCAGCAAAAATGTTGAGAAAGAAACCAAAAAAAATGGTGTTAAAAAAACAGCGCACACACTGCTAAAGGAAATCAAGAAGGCTACTGCAATTATTTTTTTTACATACCACGAATAGCAACAAACGTTGCTGCTCTATGACAGCATGTGAATAGCAGATGTAAGATGGCGGTTGGACTCTTCCTTGAAGCCTTAATACCGCACGACGTCCGCTGTATCGTAAGCAGTGTCTCAGAGTATGGAAATTTAGTCGGTACGCACAGACTGCGATGAGGCGAAATAATACTAATATTTGCATTTTGCACTCAAAATCGAAACGGCTTCAAAGTTTTAGGATTTTTCCGGCGTTCCTGGATACCAATGAAACCATAGATACCTCTCGCATTGCAGGAGGCATTGCACTTGACAAAATCTACTTAACATGTCAACTGGCTCACGTGGTGGCAGGAATATTCTCTTACCGCAAGCTCCATTTCTTGACAGAACCAATGTTCAAAGAATTTGGGATACACATGGTAGAAGGGGAGGGAGAGCGAAATACGAAACCGCCTGACTAGACGTAACGTAAGGAGTCGATTTTCTTTCTCTTATTACAATCGACACCGACACACCGTTGGATCTGCGGAGTCGACGTGAGTCCAGAACGGGTGCGTCAGGCTGTTGAAAACTGCTCGAGGAGGTGGAATCGCATGCTTTTCCTGCAAGACAACGCACCGCCGCACCGCGACAACACTAGTTTCTGAAAACTCTCATAAACATTGTTTTTCTCTCGAATGTTTCTATTGCAAGTGATAGAGCTCACTTAGAAGCCATGTGAACTCGAAACTCGCCCATATACAAAGGTTTGTGATATTACAAACACAGCAGAGAATTTCCATCTTTCGCATAATAGGATACATTTCTCTTCACATATTTGATTGAACAACCTGGTTGAACAACCATGATTGATTTGCTCCCCTTCATCAAAGCACAATCGACAGCACTTTTTCTTTTCCCATTTCTCCATCGACTACTTTAAAAACAGTGGGCATTGTAACAAAATCCCACGAAACTGTTGAAAGTAAAAGAAGAAGGAAACGTCTCAAAACTCTTTCAGAGAAACGATACTTTTAAACAGCATTTCTAGAATAAATTATGCACGCTATAGAAATTAATTTAGTGCAAGTATTCGCAGAAATAGGCTTGAATTCATACTGAGGCATAGCGAGCGGAATCCTACTTGCTATAAAGCTCACAGGGCTTGACCAGAAAGGCCAAGACGTGCGTAATCTTTCGTCACAGCAGCCACTCTTGCAACACCAGAGGCATGCACGACATCCAACCCATGCATGCATCCTCCATTTATGATGTTCAATCCATATAGGGCTCAGAAAACCACCAGCGTTGAACGGTACATATCTATAGCTGATCGCGCAATGTATCGCGCTCACTAGTCGAAGCCAGACCAGTTTCTATTGGTAGAGCGAAAATTGCGAAATAAAACTACCCGAGATGCGATTTACAATTAGGAAGTATTGTTGTACTTACGCTTCACAGTACGGCCGCTTATCAAATCCTTTGTAGTTCCGCATGTTCAGGGTCATGTTGCAAACCTGACACTTGAAGCACTGTTTGTGCCATATCTGTAACAAAATAGGAAAAAATTACTTTTAATGGATTTTACACAAAATGAAAACACAAACCATTGAATTATATAATTTATATTTTCCGGCTATCCAATTTGCGTTAGTACGTTGAAACCAAAATCTTTAGCATACATTATTACATTAGTATTATATTACAAGACCAATACTTTTAAACCCAGCCAGGTAGCTCAGTTGTAGAGACAGGCGAGTTGCTGTTTGGAGCCGTAACACGATATCATCAGAGTCAATTTTTTTACCATTCTTGCTTGCCTCTCCGAAAAAAGAAAGAAAAGCAACAAAAAACAACATAGTATTTCAGATGTTATCGCGCGTTCGCGAGGGAATCGATTTTGCATTTGTTTTTCGTCGTAAGTAAAAGGAAAAGATCTCTGAAGCATCATGGCTGTGAACTAGGGTGCACATAACTAGGTTATAAATAGATCCACTTTCATCAGATTTCAAAGATCACTTGCACGTCATTTTGGAGCACTGCCAACGTTGAAAACAACAATTTAAACGTTTGGAAAAAGAAAACTATCTCCAATTTCGAGTACATTCTAACATCGCTCAGTCCGCAGCGGCCAGAAAAAGGGGATTAACTGCGTAGCGGGTGAGAGGGAGGTTGGCCGCGGGATGCAAATTTGGCAAATCTTGCTGCGTTGGGTCCCCGTTTGTGCACGAGCGTTTTCATTACGAGTGCTAGATAATGACGAACCGTGACATTTATATTATTGAGGAAATACCCATAGGTGCGCGTCATAGAGTAAGTGCGTTTTGCCAGGGGTTTTCAAACACTTTTCGTCCACGGTTCCCTTGACCTACACGAAACTTCCCGCGACTCTCCCGGTGACACGTTTCAAACATAATGTTTAATATAGACCTACTAAAGATTCAATACAAATGAGTGTGATACAATACGATACTGGTAAACGACTTGCCAGGTTCAATTACTCCACAATTAATTAGTAAAATAAGTAATATACATTATATATAACATGGTATAATATTACACAATTTTGTAGACGTAAATGACACATTAAAGTAAATCGAATCTAAAGCATTTTAATAATCACTGCGTCGCCCCTACCATATGGTATATAATCATGGCGACGCCCCTGGGGGCCGCGACGCACAGTTTAAAAACCCCTGTTATGCAGATATAGCCAAATGTACAATGGTTATCACTAAGCCACATGATTCTGTTCATTAAGCAATTAAAATTATGAAACTACAAAGCTGTAAGAACACACATTTGGGTTTTCCGACGCCTTCGCGTGACAATTTATTAATTTCTCTTTCAATCCGCCAAACGAAATATGAATAGTTATGGAATAAAGAAGTTCGAAGATACGTCAACTACTGAAGTCCCTCGCCCGCAAAAAACAAACAAACTTTATGGCAACTACGAACATTTAGGGCAATGTGGCATCCCCCTTATCAAGCTTTAATATTATCCTGTGTCAGTCTGCCGAGACGTCCGAGAATCATTGACCCGCAATACTGATCGTTCGGTGGGCCGGAATGCACAAATGATTTCTAGAATCAGCATTGGTGCAAATTATGAGTAAAGGAATGGCGTAGTTTGCGGAATACGAGAGATCTCCAAATAACAAACGGGTGGTTGGTCATGGCCAGAAACCGGTTTCAGCTACCGCAAAACAGCGAACGGCGCGGGTCGAGGCTTCGAAGCCCGGTGGGGGCGAGGTGGCAAGCGCCCCTGTCGCCCCTAATGCCTAATGCAGCTACCCACCGGCCGCGTCTCAAAAGGCCAACAGGTTGCGCAAGCAGGCGCTGGCGCCGTGCAGCCGCTATCGCCACGCAGGCGCCACGTGCTTCGCGCTTCCTAGATAATCCCTCCCCCGCAATAAATCTGCCAGACCTGTCCTTCCTCTCGTGAGACGAACGAAAGACCCGAGAACTCGCCTTCCCTCTGCTTTTGCAAGCGACTGAAAATTTTAAAACAATATCGTGTTTCCCAGTTTCAAATTGCGGCATTACGCAAGATTTCTTCACAAAAATTGAAATTTTTTCATTGCACTGTTACACAAGTAGTAAATCACATTTTAAAAGTACCAGAATTTTGTACTCGCCAAATCAGGAGGCATTTTTTCGTGATTAGTGTACCCCTCACTCTTCATACAGTCGCAAGAGTGGACTCACAGGCACTTCGTAACGACGAGGTGCGCTTTGTAACCTGGGGGTGGGGCAGGGTTGGACTCTCAGCTTTTTACGATTATTCGCAGCCCCCTCTGAGCGGACTGAAATTTGGATCAGCCAATTTGGACAGTGTTTGGCCTTCCCCGAAACCTAAAACTCCAGCTAGGAGGTGATTTATGAAACTTTGCGCTGTCGATGTGAATCCCTTCTGGATTTTTCCTTTTCAAAGAGTTCAGAATCACCGACCAAACGCCCAACGCACACTGCCCACCAGGTTTTCGCCGCTTTGCGGGTGTTCCTGCCGCGCCTGAACCTCAGATCCGGCACAGACTTACGTCGACTTGTTTTTCCCCTCCTCAATCTGCCAGCGGGGCAACGCCTCAGTCGAGATGTGCTCGAGACGCCAGTCCGGTTCCCCGCCATAGTAATGTAATGCATCTCCGTGTATGTGTGGAAGGGGAGAGGAAAGGGATCCACGGAGAACTACTGATCACAGCAGCCGGCGGCTAGAATTATCCTAAAAAAGCAACAAGTTGACATAGTTATGTAGTCTAGCTGTTGTCGAAAATTTACCCACGTCGAGACTCGATTCCTAGGACCTGTCGATCAGAAACGCTGCAGTCAGAATGCAGCGAAAACACCTTTCTTTACTTCTGCATTGTGAACATGCTCGAGGAGTGATCTCACAATATTGGAAGCTGCTAGCACTCTCGTATCTGCGCTCCACCAGGAAGGAGAAACCGCATTCCCAAGAACTACGATCGGCAACTTTTCAGACATTGCGGCTCACTCAATTTGCAATATAAAATATCGAAGACCACTAACAATTTTTAGAAAAAAATATTAAACGAATTTTCTGCAATTAGCCATTGTTTCAGGCGTCATGAAAAGTTTATTAATTTATTTTTGATTGACAGTAGAATTATGTTACTATGAATGTCTGTAGAAAGAACTTTACATTATGGTAACTTTCTGTATGATACAATCTAGCAACACTGGGTGGAGACAAGACTAAAATCAAATGAGGTAATTTGAAATATCTACTTCCACGAGTATAAATTTTCTGCGAAACCGAATACTGTTTTGAGGTACACGTTTTGAAAGTCACCTTAACATTTTGCAACAAATCAATTACCAATGTCTTAGTTCTATTTCAAATATAACAATAGACTAAAACACTTACAAAATGTTATTAAATGAGAATTTAAATAATATCAGGATTTCTTTACGGTCCATTAAAATAACGACACGAACAACCGGTTGCCGACCGCTGCTCTAGATTGTTCGGTTCTTCAGCATTTACTACTTCGACATCAGTTTCTTACCTCAAAGCAAATGTCAAAGAGTTAAGTATTTACGTGAGAATGTGATTGTCCTTGATGTATCAATGATCCCAGCCGCAACAGTTGACGGTACAAGCTGCTCTTTAAAGGCATTACGAAAGGTAAATAGTTAGAATTAAATAAAGTTAAAGTTTACGGAAAAGTAAGTTCTCCGTGAATATTTTGGCATGCGTTACCAGGGCCAATAGTATATACGAATGGTAAACACCATAACGGTATAAGTGACATTTTATAAATTCTGAGAAAACTATTTTAGGTTATATTTCAATGGCAATGTACGTATTTCCAGGGTTTTAATGAACAACTGAAGTGTTGTGGTTTTAATGACGAAACAAAGCACCACGACTATACAGTAATATTGACTTAAATAGATTTCACAGAATTTATAAAACGTCACATATACCGTCCTGGTTTTCACCCATTTAAACGTTGAAAGCAATGTAGAATGTACTAAACATGTTCTGTAAGCGATGATATAGGAAATACATTTAATCCAGTAGTAAGATTCATTAAACACGTTTTAGTTTCGTTCAGTAAATCAAATTCAAAATCATATGTGAATGAACAAAGAATAGTCAGTAGTACTATATTTGTTTGGTAGATAAAATCATTCTGTGAGATGTACGTTTCGTGTATTCATACTCTTTCTGCTTAATAAGCGCGCGTCCTCGACAATCTGACCAATTCGAATTGTTATAAAGCCCGCGTGACCTGTGAGAAATAAGTGCCATATATGGTATTATACGCTATATAACTGGCGTGTTTATTATTTTATTGATTTTAAATAATTATGTTATATGCTAAACTAATAGTATAGAAATACCGTCGGTAGCCAAATGTGTGCAGCCAGCGTCCGTATCTGTTCTAATTGGCTAGGGTGTCTGAGATAAACGAGATAAAGGAAGTATGAATCCACGGTGCCAAAAGATAGCTGACGGCTCGCAAACTCCTGTTACTACCTGTCTGAAGCGATAGAAAGGGAATATTCTGTTTTACTTTTCTGATTAATTGAGCTTAACTAAGCAACATTTAGTAATTTATGAAAAGGAACTATTCGTTTAGTTCCTTTCACTACAATGTGTTTAGTAAATATTACTGGATGCATTAGTCAACGCACCGATTAGTTTAGGTATCTCCACTAAATGTTATTCGTCATGGGATACGACCTGTTTAGTAAACATTACTATACGTGCATTAATGTGTTTAACTAAACAGCAGTTTCGTGAACGTGACTGATCACTTCGTCATTCCAAAATGTACTATAACGTTTAGTTCCATCTTCTACGTGATTAATTGTATGAAGTAAAAAATTTATCCGTGTATATCGGAATATAATATCTCGGAATCTAGATTCGTATGAGCAAGTGTTTGAATTTTGCCAATTTTCATTTGATGCACGTGCAATTTGCTCAATAATCACATTGAACGCTATGTATTACGCAATTACATTAAACTTTGATATAGATCACTTTCTTACATTCCAATCTAAGATGAAAACCATTGTTTTGGTTCTGATTGCCCCATCGTCTACAGAAAGCTATCTTGCAAATATATTTCATTATTTTCTTTACATTTCTTTAATAGAATCCTTTCAACATAATTTTAAAATTTTGCTCATAGTTTAGCAGCTTTTACTGTTAGGTGGCGCTTGCAGAAATGTATATTTGCACTAATGTACTCTTCATGAATACTTTAAACATTTAGTAGGTACGTTAGTGTTCTAAAAACAAAACAAAAAAAATACTTTCACAAATAAGTTAATGAAAACTATTTTACACACCGCCACTCGGGCCCCGGCTCCCGAACCGACAGACGGGCCACCCTGAGTGACATCTGAACGTTACGCATTGGCTCGAGCATACTGCTCGAGTGGTGCCACCGCGGGAAACTTGTTATGCCACCGACTTGTTAAGCGCGTATGTATCAAACGAGGGCAAACGTTCGCGCTGGAGAGAACAGTGGTGTCAGGCAAAGTAGCTCGACGTGAACGCAAGTTAAAAAGCGACTCGAGATGCCAAGACGTTATGAGTGAAGTGGGGCACTTCACAATCTGATTGTGAAAGCAGGAACATCCCACGTCCCAAGTCTAGGGAAGTACGCCAAATAAAAACCTCTTCGTCATTAGGGGATTGCTTCTCCGCGGCCTTTGCTGGCATGCAACGTGACTCCAGCGAAAATATGTGGGATGTTTTCTTCCTTTTAATGAAGTAGTCAATATCAACACGAAAGCCACGATTAAAGTCTGCTTACCAGAGCCTAATTAAACCCCTAATAAAGGAAAATTTTGGATTATTGTTGTCCGAGTAAGCATATTGTATTTTTACTACAGATGTGACCATTTAACATTTATTAATGTGGTCATAGATATATTTTTATAACAATGTATTTATTTTATTTAGGCCTCATCGTTACGTTCATATAAAGCCGAGTTAACCACGAAGTTCCGAACACGAGAACACAAGCATGCAACCGACAAGTATTAAATATTTATGTAGTCTACAACCAGCGTTTGTTTATGATTAATATTTAAAGAAAGTAAATTCAAAAATGGAAATTGTGAACTAATCGTAATACAAATTATAATTACTGAATTAGCGCTTCTTTTGGCGTTCCATTGCCTCACAATTGTCATGCGAGTATTTGCAACAACCGAAAGCAATTCAATCATTACTTGCCAACGATTTTAAAACAGGAAAAATATCTGACACGATCAATATTTACTAGATCTTTACGCGCCAAGGGCGTTATAAGTGTTCTAATGATTGAGCGGCGACAAAAAGTCGGAAGGCCTTTGATCAGTTAACACACAAGTTAACCCAAGTAATTTTAGTGACTCAGATTGACTTATTTACTAATTAACAAGTTTAACTTAACTATTCATTTTTCATATTTTCCTCCCACAATTCCCTCATTACGAGAACGTTTAACACTATTCAACTGTTTTCATATTTCCCTCGCAGTCACAATCCTCCCGATCCAGGTAAGTTATACAGTGAATATGGTACTCAGTGTCGAAGGCAATAGAAAGCAATATATCAGCAATAAATAAAATTTATTACATTTGTAAAATTAATATAACTCCTCCTTTGGACTATTTCAGCTGAATTCAGAGGTATATGTACTTCATTTGATGTAATCTCCACCTAGCAGCAATATATTAAATACCAAGTTTTGACAAAATACTAACATCTAGTGTTATCTTGTCAAGTAGATAATAAATTCACGATTTCAATCGCTGTGTGTTATAAATGTTATAAAGCAGCTGTTCCAGGAAACTACCATGACGCAAAAATACCATTCGAGCAGGAGTTATAAATGCGCACAAGCATTTTCTTCAAAGAATTATTTAATGCCGACATGAAATCAATTACATCAAGTCCACATACGTTTTACACAAAATATATGGAGCATCAATTTTCAACCCTTCTCTTTTATGGCATTTATGTCGGTCTAGAACAGCTTCCATTACTTAAAAAAATATGCACAATTTTACTATCTTTAGTGATGTTTCGAATCTCAACTGCATCCATTTCCAACAAATATAACGACCTCGATGGCCGCGCACATTAACCTCGGCGGTTCCGAGAAGGAAACTATCTTTCTTCGGATATCGCTTCGCGTTTCAGGACAGCAGAAATGGAAGAGCTCTCGGGTTCAAGAAGATAAGGACCGGAATAGAGAGGAGAGGTCATGTGAACGACTTAACCGGATCACAGTCATTCTTTTATCCAGTAACTCAACGAACCACAAGAACCATAACTCAAAAATTTCATTAAAGTAAGAACATCAAATCGAACAGCTTTTAGAACAAGTGCAATAGAAGTACAGAAGACGATACACGTATGAAATACTAGTTCAATCGTCAATACGGCGAAAACGAGAGCGTAAGTCACAAATACCGCAACCAATCACCTATCTCGTCAAACAATTCTGCAGTTGAAACACTGCTAAAGAATTGTAATTTTTTTTCATCACTGACAGTTTATAACATACATGATAATTGAGTAGCTCCGCTCATGGATAGAGAGGGCCTTAAGAAGACTCAAAGATTTCCACATCACTTATTCTTAGTATGGGAAATTATGAGTTGCAATTTTCGTTATTAGATGGGTAACGTTCGGGCCCTTTTGAGGACCATTTATAACAGCATAATACGAAAAATCCAAAATTATGACAAAAACGGAAATTCATTGAGCATTAATTAACGAGGATCGGTGACACTCGTTACAAAACTATTTCAAGGGCTATGCTTTACTATTGCGCGAAAGCTCTGGTAGTGTCAAATTAGGTATTCTGTTACTATGTTTTTGTTTCTTCTGGTAGCGTTGTCGGAAGCAAATTTAAAGTTTTCTGTAGTTTTCTGCTGATATAAGCTGTTCTCTGCTTCTTCAGTAAACAATTACACGGTCTATTCTGGGATGAATTGCATTGTGTGCTAACGCAGTATGTTTTGCATCGTATTCCGTTGAGGCATATCTTCATTCACAACAACATAAGTTGGTGTTTTGAACTTATTAGTTTGGTTAGGTTATATATACCGACAAAACTATAAGCAAATACATACTATGAAGTGTGTCGGTAATTGTCCGCTGGTAATTAATAGAAACCTTAATAGAATTCTTATACAGACCATGAACTTTAACAACAGAAAAGCGAAACATAACCCCACCTTTATGTTAACAAATAGTTTCACAACCAATAACTATAAAATACTATTTATTAACTAATTAGTACAGGAATTGACGAATATTCGATCAAATTAATAAATTAAATTACATTGACGCAGGCTCTTACTCGATATCCTGACTTTTACTCTCGGGACAGCGGCGGGTGTTTTTGCTAGTATTTGTATTTTTTTTTTTAAATACAAATACATATCGGTTCGAAGTAACGTTTTATTGAAAGTGAACCTAATTGAAATGTGTTACACCCATAATGTACGCCACAACTTTTAGCCACGCCCTGCAAACCTTCGGCTTGCGTAGAGGATCTATGGACGGAGAGAACTGCCAGCCCGACTACGTCACACGGCGAAAAGGAGTTGACCGAGGAGAGCGGATCCGCCAAACTAAATCCTCGATTACTCATCGCTCTCGCTCTCGAGGCTTCCGCCCGATGACACGCACAGCGCGGGGAGCGCGGAGAGCGCGCGGCGTAATGGCTGGCTAGCGAAAACTCTCTCCACCACGGGGGCCCGGGTTCCATCCCCGTCCAATCCAGGAGGAATTTGCGCTGGACTAAACGAGCTCTCGCCAGGTTTTCTCTGAGTTCTCCCCGTTTCCCTGCTTCTCACATCCACATTTCTCCGCCATTGATCTCATCATCTACTCATTAGATCGCTCTTCGACGTAAATCACCTCCACAATTAAAGGGCTCCCAAACCCAAATAAATAAACAAATAAAGTAAATAAAACACGTACCAATTGCCGCACTTTTTGTAATAAATGTATGTATTTGGCATTTTTGGGTCGGATTAACTCAACTTCTGCCAGCTAGCGGGTTCCCAGGTCTGGGCCCTGTTATGTATTTATGATGAACATACCGGTAACTCAAAACTCGTCTGTTCAGGGGTGGAACCCCATTCACAATACAACCGCGCGCAGGAAAGGTTACATCTGAAAAATAGTGACTTATTAGTTTAATGGAGAAATACTGTTAGAAAACAGTTAATTTTATTAATAAACATTTCATAAAGCTGGTTCACAAGATTTGATGAGGGTCACTGTGTTTAGCCGCAAAGTAAAATGCTCCGCTCAGGTTAAACCTTACTTCCGCAATACAACTATCTTTAGATGTGTCCCTGTCCTTATGCACCGACAATATGTTCAACTCTTTACATGTTTTCATGAGGAACGTCTTGCCTACGCTTCCGATTCGCATAGTTTTATCACGCCAGGATGTTTCTAAGTAATCTGAACAGAACTCCGGCCCCTCTTGTCTCTTTCTAGGACTTCGCAGTGTCTCCAGCTGCTAGAGCCCGCGCGCGCCCGACGTCGCTGATCCGGACGCAGAGGCGACTTCTCCAGGCGCACAGATGCGGCACGCCGACTCCTTTTCTCAATTCACAGCTACACAGAATTAGGTGGCCCAGCGGACTGGCAACGAAGGCGGAAAGTAAATGTAACTGCAAATTAACTTCTCCCCACAGCACGTCACACACACTTTTTAACTGTTTTTGACGAAAATAAATAAGTAAGTGACCCCGAAGGCGATGCAAAGGAAACTGGAAATCGCAAGCTGATAAGTGCGGCGCGCGTCCTATCTCCAAGGCCTAAGCGTCAGCGCGTCCTGCGCACACTGCAACGCGCCAAGTTGCTTTTCGTTTGTTTTTTTTGTTTTGTTTTTGTTTATTTCTCTTTCCTTCTTTCTTTCACGGCTCATCGCTCTTCTATGTCTAAAAACCGCTGTCACGGTCGGCATCACATCAAGTGCTAAGGAAAGACGCACTCTAAAGACGTTACCGAGCAAATGAAATGGGTACATGATACCAATGCTGTACTTTTGCCGGCGGACAAAGCCACAGCAACTGAAGAATATGAAACCAAGCACCGATGTTCTATCCTTTGTGAAATGCAGTTTTAAAAATCTGCTAAATTTGATCAAATAGACTGAAGATATTATATATCAGTGAGACGAAAATTGTACAATTTTTTCTTTGCAATACCTGACGTTTGTACGGATATAGCTCGTGAAAAGCTAATGCAATGACGTAGACATCAACTACTCTCATGTTCAAATACCAATACTCAAATACGCACACACATTATGCGTGCAATTCTGAAAAAGTAAAATAAATAAAGACCTGAAAATGAACTATGTGCAGTTAAGTACGAGCTAGCATTCCTTCCTACTTACACAGGATTGGATCTCGAGAAAAATGCTCGCTCTCTTCTCCGCTTCCCTCTTAAGCCTAAGAAGACAGAAAAATTATCTAGAACAGCGGAACGTGCCAAGTTGGGCAAGGTTTATTTGCCTTTTATTTGCTTGTTAGTTTTCACTTTATAGATCTCTCTCGCTTTTTCTGGTAGATTTCGCATTACCCGGCCTGGGCAAACCATACGCTAGAGCCGCAACCATTAACGTATAAAAAAATCAAGGGAAAAAATGATAAAACAAGTGGCCCGCAGCAGAAAAAATCCTGAACATAACCAAACAAAGTTGTCTTCCAAACAGGAACACGCATACTGGTCAACAACTAACAATATATTCTCGTATAACCCCACTACAAATTAACTAGTAACAAAAACAGTCGTTACGAATACTGCAATAATATAGTATAGTATATTTTATACATGTAATAGTTCTTTATCGCAACATGTGCAAATATTTAGTGGCGGGCGGCCCCTTCCTGGGAGCATGACGTCAGCTGTGAAGGAAGCAGTGACGTATTGAATATCATAATTTAGGCGGTATGCGTGCAATATGATTATAAATAAGCAAAATGACCATCAAATATTTGCATTTGTCGGTCAAAATCTATGCTATTGCATTGTTTTAAAGGATTATTCAGAGTTCCTGAGCATCGAACGGAAGCATAACACCTCGCACATAGCTGGAGACGGCATAGTTTTCATTCGTTTTCTGCGCGCTTTGAAAATCAGTAATGAAGATTTTAACTAAAATTATAATGACCTTTTCACCATCAGTTTTACGTTGCGTAAACCTCGTTTCGATATTATTATAATAAATTTATTTTTATTTTGTTTTTATTATTATAACTATGAACTACTGGTAGGTACCCTCCTACCCATGCGTGAAGTCTTCCTGTAATAGAAAGGAAGAATGCCGGTGATTTATGAAAATTATGAATCTGAAATCTACCTTTCAACACACAAAAAACTGTTACAGACTTGCGTCGTGAGTTGCGTACATGGTATAGCATAAGAGAAAGATGATATTACAAGTTGTATATATTTCACGTAACAGCAAGGTCGCGTTTATTATCTCATGTCGTAGAATAAAATCATTACATACCCGTCATCAAGGAAGACTTAAGACCAAGAACACATCCAAAAGTTTTGTAATCGTCTGCATTACATTTCTAACAATTTTGATAACGCAATTAGAAGTATTATTTTCTAATCTTGAAACGACAATTTCTGACACGTTCACAGAATTATTAGCATCTAATTTATTTGAGATTGATATAGAACAATCTTAATCGATATTACATAATGAAATTAAGCAATTATAACCGCATCATCTCCGCAAATATTTTATCCAGAATTGTCAAAATGTCCGTAATGGAAAGGTCAACTGCGATCGCATCTGCCGAAACGCGCATAATTTGAAATTTTTGTTAATTATTTTCCCTAGTACCAAACAAGTGTTCAAATTTTCACGTTCTACAAAACGATCCCGTTATGACTTACAATAGGTTCTGTTCATTCACAACAAATGCTAGCGTAATATAGTATATCAATTATTTATGATAAAATATTTAAAAAACTGAAGTTATTAACGCTTGACTATTGTAAAAACATCTTGAAAGATTCTCTCTTAAATAATTGAACACCTTTTTTTAAAAAAAATAACGGAATAATACACTCGCTGAATTTTTCAATAATAAATTCGAAATTCACCAATGTCTTCGTCACAACTTTTCCTGTGATTGAATTATATAATTCAATTTCCCGATGAAATTTGGTTTGCAGTTTACCAAGGGATCATTCCATAATAACTTACAGGTTTTATTTACGTATAATGTCCAAGCCGCGTCCTTGGGAAGAGAGAATCTAATTTCCTTCTCAGTATGAAGCAACGTTAGCCAGAAGACCTGGACACGAACATTACTTAACATTTGTACTGTTTAATTTTAAGATTCACCACTTATAACAATAATTGTATCTCAGCTTTCGGGTCTATGTCCCTAAGCTATCAGCTTTTTCGTCCGGTTTCCCCCATTCATTGAGCAAATTCTGGGACGACCTTCTTGTTTTGCTTTTGGAGACAAAAGTAGTTTCACTATGCGCACGCTTTGTCGAGCTCTTATTTTGTTAGTTGTGGTAGAAGCAGAGCCGGCGGTGAGGGTTTCCATTTTGTTAGCAGTACTAAAATATCAAATCTGTAGTTAGTTTTCCGTGGCAAATACGTTTTTTAAAACTAGAGAACAAAAATTTTTCGAACGTTTCTAATCTCTCTTTGATGGTACTTTTATTCATCGTTCAACTGTGTATAGATAAAGATTGGGGATGGGAGTCTGGAGCTCAAGATAGAGTGTGCAAATTATACTCCTCCCCGTACATTACACAGTGTTTACTTTTTGACGAAAATTAAATTAAATTAAAGGAACCAGAATCGAGATGACGCCAGGAAGCACCACTTTCATTCCTCTTACTATGCAGGAGGATGCATGTCGCTCACTCTTCTTTTCAACCCAAACTTCTAACACGCAACGCAAACAACTCTCCATTTCTACCGGAACGCTCGGGCCTTATGTCAACCGGCCTAGGTGAGCGCGGGGGGACGGGGGCAGAGTGGCCGTGTGTATCCCAATGACAGCGAATTCCTACCGACCTCTTTTATAACAAAAAATCTATCTGCATCAGGAAAGGTATAATATACATTTTTAGCCAAATAATTATTTTGTTTTCAAATTAACACTCAAGGACACGCATTAAAAACTGTGAGGTGGTTTGTAGCTTTATTTTAAAAAGAGTCCAACACTTTAATAAAGTGCGACAAACAAATTTAATTTTGGTGGTAATCAGTTAACAGCACCATTCATTCTTCCTTTTGAGCAAGTCAGAATTTGACTCTGGGACCGTCAACCTCAGAGGTCAAGAAATTCCGTTAATGTAGTGTATGATATATCCCGGGAGGTTGCTTCCCCGCTGAACGTGAGATGCTCTCTGAACACACGGGCATTCCCTACTACGGGCATCTCCGCCAGCGCGGTACAGCCCCAAAATGAGGCTCCCAACACGTGTAGTGGGGCGTGTAAACTAAGCGGGGAGAAGACAAGGAAGATGGAAGAGAGAACGGGTTGGGCCTGTGGTGTTACGGTATTGCTGCAGCATGCGCCTGGCATCGATCGGGGAAACCACGGAAAATGCTCATTGGAGCAGCCGGGCGCTCAAATTCTCCTCCAGTCAGCAGCTGAATTCGACCGAGCAATCCCACTTGTCTGCTAGATGGCGCACCGGCTACTTTTAGTTTACGCACGCGACGGCGGGGGGGGGGTGCATATGTATTAACTGTTTTTCAACGGCTTAGCAATATGAGACACACTGTAATAATTTGATGTTTATATCTCTATTGTCAAAAATAACAAGAAAGAACCTTGGTGATATCTTTGGTGTATTCTTCACGGCCAAACATAATTACAACTGTAATACAACTGGTTGAAAAGAAATAAAATTCCACAAACAAATTTATTAACCTACTATTTGTCAGTTACATCAGCAGACATGTTTCGAGGTATTGTACCTCAACTTCAGTGCATCTACAAAACATTAAGCATAACTTTAAAACTACAAACTGTAATACAAAATTGTGAAAACTATTATAAAGCACGAACACTTAAAAAACTTTACAAAAAATATTATTATTTACCCAAGTAACATGGTCAACATGAATCGTGGTGTGCTCCTTACTCGGTGCCATTTTGTGCATTGTTCTCCGGGGAAGTGGGAGAGGGCGAGTTTCACAATATTTCTGCAGTAACAGAGTTAATTTAAATAATCACTACGTTTGTAAAATAGCCTGTATGGGAGAGGAGACCCTAAAACTCTTTCTTTGTTTACTTACTGCGTTAGCCTGCACATCGCGCACAACACATTGCAACGAGCCATACTGCAAAACAATTTTAAGCAGTTAATTCCAAGCCCGTACCTAGCATATTGTCAGTCCCGAACCCATCCATGGCACGCCACCCACTAAAGGCATTGCCATTCATTCGCACTGTGCCAACCGAGAGCGGCGACTCCGCTTCAGTCTGAGAGCGCATCGTCGCCGAAACTCAGCTCCGGGTCCGCGGGCACTGACGCCAGCGTCCCGAAATACTCCTCGCAATTTTGTTATCTGGACACACGCAGTTTGACCCCACTTCCATCAAGCGAAATAACAAGAGGGCGCGGTTATCAGTTGGGTCCCTTATTTTTGCTGCGCTGGCGTCTTGCGCCGTTTTTTCCTCTTTCTAGCCTCGGCCGCCGCCAGCCGACCTGACACTCCCCGTCGCGCCTCAGGCCGCAAGCTTTTGCCCGTTCTCCCAGCCAAGGAACGAGACGCAGAGCAGACTCCAAGACGGCCAAACGCCACACAATAGAAAACAGCAGTGCTCGCGACAAGAAACGAACGCCCGCGACACGAAGCAGAAGGGGATGGGGGGCGGTGAGTTTCCAAGCAACCTGGAATTCGGACGTTTGATTTACGTAATTAGAAAACAAGAGAATGAAATAAAACACGCGAACGACGTCAAAAGTTGTATAGTATTAGATGCCAAATATTTCAATAAACACCAAAACGTTTTTTGGCTTTGTTAATAAATCGTTAAAAATGTGTTTTGACAAAAGACAATTTCAAAATTTAACATTTTCACTAGAAAAAATAAAGCACGCTTAGCAATGTTTACGTTAATGAAACAAAAATGCAAATTAAAGTAAGTTTCAATTATAATCACTTTCTTAAAAATAAAAACAGTAAACAATTAACAGTTCTGTGTACATCTCATGTCGTGAAAGTGGAATTTTAAAAGGGGAAAATTAAGAAAATAGCTATTAAGTGTGTGTGTTCGAGGAGAGAGGGTGTCTCTTAACAGATGTACAATTTACAATAATTAGTACTCCAGTGTCCGTTCTAAGAAAAATCGGTCGTTAAGAGGGGTTGTTTTTCAGAAGTTTCACTGCATATTTGTAACAAATGATATGAGAAATTGCGGATAAACATGAATAATTGCATTTTCAGTCAAAACAGAAACCATTTCATTATTTTTCATTTTCACGGTCTTCCTGGGTATCTATCAAAACCATTGATACCTCCTACATGGTCAGATGCTTAATTTTTCCCCAATTTACGCATATATTCGAAATTAGTAATAAAGATAGATATTAACGGTAGTTTGTTAAATACTGTTTAAAAGTGATTCAGTTCAAATAGGATGTATGTAATTCGTTTTTTTTACATTTAATACAGTGATAATTTTAAGGTGTGGTTTGTGTTTTTGTTTGCATTATGGAAACACCTGACATTTCGGGTAGTATGCAGCGAACATGTTAAGATTTTCAGAATATGGTGCGAGAGTCATTGCCGAGGCTGACAAGACTACTAATACATATTCAGATACTTTAGATAACACGCGGCAGGGAGCTGGCTTCGTTCTGCGGAAAGTGCTGTCACTTTATTAAGGCTGAGAATCAATTGCCCTCCCCAGCAGCAAAATTCTTCACCTTCATCTTTCAACGTTTCTCTGAGAAGAAAACTGTTTGCGAGACAATCTTGTCTTTTTGACAGGGCGCCAAACATCCTAAGTGATGACGCCTGGCGGAGGAACCTCCAGGGAGGCTCGATTTGCAGGACCAGAGATTCCTTTTTATTTTCTTGATTCGCTAGACCGGCATCCTGCCGTGGGAGCAACCTCGCGTAATTGACAGGACACCACTAACTGCTATTGACGATGTCTGCCAAGCAAATATCCAGGAAGAGGTCCAATTCGCCATCTAGATTCTTCCTTTTAACTGCGTCTACCAGTTTCGCAACTGGTCGGGCCTGAATGGAAGGTAGGAACCGAGCCCGCCAGATGGAACAAGATGTAGGTAGATGGAGAAAGAAGGGGATTAACCGAAATTCACTACTCTGCCATACCATCCCCAAAATTATTACCAATAATGCATAATTTCTGAATAAGATGTATGCAATACATCAACGTTTTTGACTAAGATGACTAACTCCGGTCACCAATTGCAGAAGAAATATATCGTTAAATAAATACGTACTCCTGAATTACAAAGGAATACATTACAGTATTAACACGTTCTGTTTGAAAAGAATAGCCACAATGTGGGAAAAAATATTAAATAAAAGCATTTCTATTTACCATGATTATAATTTTATGTAAACATAACAGTAAAATACATCTAAACGCAATTTCCACAAAATATTTCCATGCAAACTCCAACATCATACTACGATATCTGCATATACATTTATTTCAATTAGAAAATACAGTAATATAAACTGACATGATTAATTAGCGTTACTATGCTGTGTAAGAACGTATATCACTGCAGCGTTTGGAGATTCTGCCCGTCTTAAGCATCGCGTATCAGTGAAAATTAGGTCTTCGAAATTTTCATTTGATTGTTTCTTAACATTCAGCAGCAAATTGAATTTATACGTTTCGTGACATAGCATTCATGAACGAGGAACAAATTATCGAATCGTAAACCGAGAAGAAATATAATGCAATTTGAATAGGTCACGTCATAAAATTTAACAGTTCACATATTTCAGTTATATTTATTTTCAACGTTTAAATGGACTTAATATTTGATTCGGCTTATTTTTAGAGAATGTTCAGAAAATGTTATAATAAATTGAAAATTATCTTCGTAATACAAATGAATTGCAGAGTTAATACATTTTGATTCCCAGACTGACTGTTGTCCCGCGCCCGAAAGAATTAAGGTAGGATCTTTTCAAACGAAAGGAACATTTTCGTAGATTATGTGAACCACCACACACACCTTCGTTTATAGTTTTGGTATATTTTATGAGAGATTTGGCAGTATCCCGGCAATATATTCTCTCCTCGATCATGCTGCAATTTATCTCTTCCGTGATTCAACAGATGTTTTAGACGATGTCTTTTTAGCGCAACCGTTCTTCCACAGAAACCAATGTAAAAATATACGTGTTGGGAGGGATTTTCAAGTTCACATTCAAATGATCAGAATTAATCTGAACTATGTAGAAATGCGAAACCCCAAAAAACTCAGATTTATAATAATATACCAACATTTGAACACCAATGTTACAATTTGAGTATAGCCTAGAACTTTGGGTCCACCGAAAAATATTTATTTCCAGGGGCAGGGCGATTCCAACAGTTGTGACGAAAACCATGGAATCAGGTGTGGATGAAACATGATTATTCTAATATATTTTCCTATTTATCATGCTATTACTATAAAACTATAAATAATTGTTACAATTTACTGAATTTGGAAGTTTTCTAATTTAATAAAATGAATTAGAACCTGCGTTAAACTTCATCTAATATTTAATAAGGTTTCTTTTATTTATCAAAAATAAAAAAAAATGTTACAAAGTGGTCGGGGTTTGCAAAAACCTACATTTTGTGATCGTAACTTTTGACTGGCCCCTTAGGACCCAGGGCGCGCCACGTGAAATTTGGACTGGCTGCCCTGCTGGGAGTAGTGCCACCTTCCTTTCTCATTCCCGCACATGCCCAGCTTTCTAGGAATAAATCGCAACCTTAAGTGCTTTCGCGAAACTGAGTAGACGAGAGTTTCCGCATCCACAACACTCCAACAGGGCCGCTTCCACGTCCGCCTTCGGAGCGGGCTTCGGGACGCGACGGCGACGGCGGCGTCGAGCGCTGGACGGCGCGTGCACGTCCGGGGGCCTGATCCGGGCGTACCTGGCTGAGGTCTTATCGAGCGCGAGCCT